TCCTCCTCGGAGAATCAAAAGCCGCTGGCCACAAGCTCGCCCCCCCGCCCGCGTGCAATTCAGGGCCGGCATCGGGCCCAGGGGTTACCCAGGCCACGACCGCTGCCTCCCCCACCCCCTACCAGTACAAAGACCAGAGTACCTGACCCCTTGCCCAGAGCAGTGGGCAGGACAAGAGATAGTGACTCCAGTAGTGATCAGCCGGTAACATACACCCGTGAACGGTTGCAGGAGACCATTGGGCGGGTACGTAGTGGCCTCTTCGGACCTGCACCACGCACCAACAGTGCCCCAGAGCTAAGTTCTGCAGGACGTTCTGAAATTAGACATACCTCTGGCCGTCGTTCTAGCAGGCCCTTAGGCATTGCCCCTGAAAGCCATGAACAGTCACACGAACAGTCTCAGGAGCAGTCTCCAGACTCATCTAGTGGATTTGGTAGTAAAAATACATCCCAGCAGCAAAGCTCATCACAGTCAGGACAGTCATTGTCAGCATTAGGGCTTGATTCATCTCGTCTAGAGGCTTCGGAGGTCACCGAGACGGCAGAAGCTACTGATATATCACCACAAGCCCCACCTTCATGGCTCTTGGCGGCTCCTCGGAGTCGTCCTGCACCACTGGTTCGACCACGACAACCACCACCGTATGAGGAGTGGGCTGCACGACAGGTCTTGCCTCAGTTCCGAATGCCTGCTATAATAGGACCTCGGCTGTCAAGCATAAAAACAGGTATGATGGGAAGACGGCAGAGATTAGGGTCTTCCGGGTTAGATGCCAGTGTAGACTCAGGCACCTCAGTCCGAGTTTCTCCGCGCCCTCCACCAATTACCATACCTGTTTCTCCACAGCAGCCACTAGATGTTAGTGTGGATGACCATTATGAGTTTGATACGGTGCTTAGTCCAACACCTGGGGAGGATGCCGCAGCAGAGTGGTCAAGGACCCGTATTCCATCAGGCGAGCGTGGCCTCAGCGACTCTGAGATCTACGGGTCAGGTGGGCGGCGGCGCCATGAGTCAATGGAGGCACGGGTTGCTGCCATGAAGCAGGAATTTAATGAATACAGAAGAAAACAAGCACGTCGCCGACGCAGCCGTGAGCTTGAGAGTGTGTGCTAGTAGGAACTGAAAATTGGAGATACAGTTGTTCGTGTGTGTGTGTTTATATATATATATGTGTATATATATATATATATATATATATATATATATATATATATATATATATATATATTACATATATACATATATACATATATACATATATACATATATATGTGTGTGGATATATGTATGTATGTATATGAATTGGTGACCTGAAATATTTATCTCCATAACAGTGAGATTATGTGTTTTTTGTGAAGTTGCATTCAGTGATGAGTCTTTCAAATGTGGAGGGACGGGCAAGGCAGGCCAGGCGCCGCCGCCACAACCAGTAATACTCACTCTAGTGACGCTGCAATTGCTGCGTCTTGAGAACTGTGCAAATTGTTGAATTTTATATATTCCTATTGGATCTCTGTTTCGAAAATTCTCTTAACTTTGTATTGTAGTTAGAGAAGCCCTTTCATGTGATAACTACAATGCCCACATGACACGTTCAAGCAAAGTATGAAGCACAATTTCCCTGTCTCCACTGTATCATCTTCACTCTTGGGAACATCCAGGCTCTCAACATCTTATCATTTTATAGGTCTTGCAATTGAATTTTAATCAAACATTTTTTCTTCCTTTATATATTGATATATTCTTTGGTTTGTTAATATTCATATAAAAGTTTGTGTGCATGCAAGTGTATGCATATTGTGTGTGTGTGTGTGTGTGTGTGTGTGTGTGTGTGTGTGTGTGTGTGTGTGTGTGTGTGTGTGTGTGTGTGTGTGTTCTCTCTCTTCCTTTTCCTCACTGTACTTCCTGCTCTTAACTACCTCCCATCTTCCCATTTTCTGTTTCTCCCTCTCTGTTTCTGTCCTTCCCATTATCTTCAAATGCTAAGACTTAATCTATTTACCTTGAATTTTCCATGCCTCTTTCTTTGTTTGAAAAGGATTATTTCATTTAATTCTGGATGCTTGATACCTGATGTCTATGTTTCAAATGTACATAAATGTAAAGATTCAATTTTATGAATTACTAAGTATAATTCAGATGCCTCACTTTTTCTCTTTATCAATTCTCATTTCAGATTATGCTGAGTGATTTCTTCATATATTTGATACTTGTATTTAATATTACTGTGTTTTATGTAATGCCCGGTTTTCTTTAGTTTTTGAAACTTTGCAGTGTATAGTAATTTTGAAAGACTTCTAATTGAGTTACAAATATTAGGTGGCATTATTATTACAATTAATGTCTTTCATCTGAAGGTATTATTAGAGATTGTGTGGTAAAATCCATATGGCAATCTTATTTTCATGCATTTATATTTTTCGTATATTTCTTTTTTTCTCTCTCTCTTAATTCTTGTAGTACACTTATGCTATAAATTCAATGTAAATTTCAATTTTCTGTTTTATGCACTGAATGTACCTTCAAAACTAATCCTAAAATTAAGAAGTAACTGCAACTACATTATCCAGGAATGCTACATGAAACAAAATATAAAATAATCCAAAAATCAAGGTAAAATAATGCATCTTCTAATTACCGAAAACAATATATTTATCATAATTGAATTCAGTGTTTTGCTAAGTCATGAGTGTTACTGTTTTATCTCTTTCTTCCAAGAATTCCATAATTTATAAGAGAAATTATGATTTCTATAACCCGGTGTTTTGAGTACTCATCACAGCAGTTCTTATTCCAAGGTCAGGATTTGTTCCTCATAGTGAAGTTGAAGTCAGTGCCAGTTCAGTTCAGAAATATGGAGGAAATAACCTGCCCTGAAAGAGTATTCTTCTCTCTCTCTCTATTCTCTCTCTCTCTCTATTTCTCTCTCTCTCTCTCTCTCTCTCTCTCTCTCTCTCTCTCTCTCTCTCTCTCTCTCTCTCTCTCTCTCTCTCTCTCTCTCTCCAATTTTCTTTATTATCCTAAAGCTATAGTTCATGCAAATTTTAAGCAATATGTACCTTGTTTCATGACTTTTGAGCTATTTTTTTCACAGAATGCTATTATCTAAAAAAAAAAAAATGCTGATCTTACCAGTGACATTGTTCTCCATGTTATTTTATGTGCAGAGATTATTCGTGAAACATCCCTATACATAACAAATCATATATGAACATTTGATTTTCTTTTGCAGTAGCCAGTTAAAAAGTTATGAATATATATATATATATATAACCTGTATGACATTGATACTGAAGTTTTAAAAAATTGGATTATTATAAAATGTGTCACATAAAGGCCAACAAAAAAGGAGATCACATTATTTCTCACCATGTATTACATCGTATTACAGCAGTTGCACATGGAAGAGGAAAAAATCAGTCAGATTTAGTGTTCCATATTCCATTAGGCTTAGATTAAATCTGCAATAGAAAACAGTGGTGCACATTATAGTGGCAAAATGTTTTGTGAATAATCTATTTATTTTATTTTGTATTTAAGATTATTTAACTTGTTTGACAGCATCAGTTTTACTTCCTTTTTTTCTTTCCTCTCTTACTACAAACATGTAAGTTTGATGGGCGTTCTTGACTATCTGATGCTTTATATTAAATGACTTGGCTGATGAGATGATTAGCTGAGTTTCATAGGAATTTAATGTTAAAGGTTGTTTGATGCTGCCTAGTGTTCATTCTACCAGTCTTTTAGTCAGGATCACTGCCATAGTTAGATTTAAGTTTATTATTTGTTTCAGTATCTGATTTTTATTTATTTTTATTTTTTATCACTTTCTTCCTCTCACCAATTTACTGTGTAGGTTTATTATTAGATTGAAAGTAAACTAGTCTACAGTTAAAGAAGTGGATTGGACAATCGTTTCCTGATGAAAAGTTGTGTTGCATACAGTTTCTTACACCTTCATACATAAAAGCTGTAGTTACAGTTTAGCTGTACCTGAATATTGAGCCGACTCAATAAGAAAACCAAAGTTTCAGAGTCATATGTGAGCCTGAACCTCTTGCAGTTTACCTTTATTATATTTAGATTGGTATGTAATTTAACGATGCTTGCAGCCTCAGGTATGGATGACATGGCACCGTTAATATTGTCAAGCTGTATAATTTTGACTTCAAGCATGTTTTTGTTAGCCTCATCCTTCATATACATAACAATATAAAGTACCATAGTACTAAATTCATAGTATGAATATTAAAAGTTAATTTATGTGTAACAGAATTATTATGGCATAAAATCTGATTTTTCAAGAGGTGTCTTTGGCACCAAAGTTAAGATATAAAATTGAAGAGAAAAAAGGAAAGTATAAATAAAGTAATAATTAGCTATGCTATTGTGACTCTCATAGAATGGTGCTCAAAGGTAAAATAATAAGTGTGACATTTTTAACAGCATCACATTTTCTAGATCACCAAATAGAATTTAAGATTAAATAGGCATGATTCATAGTATCCCAATGGACTAGCGTGGCCCAGCATTGTACCGCTTACTTTATCTTATGTCATGCTTGCACAATACTTTCTTCATTAAAGTCAGTTATTTCTTTTTAATATTAGATGTCATTCATATTAGAATAATCCAAATTGATTTGGAAGTAATATGGAATATTGAAGGAAATTATTGGGATGCAACTCCATAGGGGCAGGTTGCTGGTTTTATGTAAAGTAATGCTGCTATGTTCGCTTCAGGTGAAAAAGCAACATTAAAACATGATTTTAAATAGTACCTACTGAATATGTGTATATGAAAAGCTTCTTTAAAGGTGTATAGCATACTTCATAAATTCTTTGTAAATAGTACTCTATGCGATGTGATTTTAGCAGTGATAGTACAGTGTGGTCATAGCTGCAAGAATGTTAGCAATTGGCACCCTTTTTTCTATGAATTCTTGGATTCCCCAGTTTCTTTGATTCCTGGGATTCTATTTTCTGTGATTAGATTCCGCATCCTCTTTTCCCTGGAGTGAACACAGCGCCCCCTTCTGCCGCTCGCCAGTTTACGTGTAGTCAGTAGTAGTTATCTAGCTAAACAGTACAGTTCAACCTGGACATTGTTACTGTGTATGTACGCTCATGTTGTATGGCATGAATAAGTAAATAAATGAATTATGTTGACATACAATAATGTTTTTCTTATTATTATCCTAATACTTATGTATTACAGAATATTCAATACACAGTGGAAAAATATTATAGCTGTAGCAAATTGTCTACTCCTTTTTCTTCTTTTTGTACACACTGCATTCTGCCGAGATAGAGCGTGTAGACCACCCTAGGAATTTATTATCAATTAAGGGAGTCATCTGCTTGGTGATTAAGGTGAAAAAATGTCTATGTTACTGTAATCAATACAAGTATTAAAAACTAAGAGCCTCATTGCGTTCAGTTGTCTCACAGATAAGTAAAGTGCAAAAAGCCTCAATATTTACAAAGCAACAGATAATGATATACTCACTATTCCTTTTTCTTGGAAAATTAATACTTCAGATAAAATAGCTGTTCCATCTGAGAGGGCTGTTAGTGGTTGTACTAAAAACAAAATACAACAATTATGATGATAATAAAATAAATAATATTACTAATATTATAATGATATTAATGATGATGATGTCCAAGAAACCTAGCTTTTTATCCTGAAGATTTCTTTTCTCGACTGTCTCTCATCACCTCGCTCCTCTACAAGTGCTTGCTAGGCCGGTATATTTGCATAGAAAAGTGGCAGAGTTCAGCAGGACAAATATGACAACTTTGTGTTCATGATTATTAAAATGGAGATGCTGTGACACATTACTGGCATTTGTTCTTCCATATAAAGTCCAGGATATGCAACTGTATATCTGTTAATAAAAAAATATTACAACAGCCAGAACCAAATAAAATTATACATGTGCAGACCATACCAAAACACTATTTTGGAAGCAGGGGGGCACTATTCACAAAAAGCCCAGAATAAGTTAAATATATGTGGAAATTTCTTCTCCTTAACCTGAAGTGCATATAAAATTACATACGAGATTACTTGATATGTTTCTAGCAACTCCACTTCAGTTTCTGGTTCCATGGATTCCAGGAGTACACAGCCAAGACATTCAAAAGAAATAAATCTTTCTTTTGAAAGTCACTGCAGATGCCTTATTGATATTCATCTTCCCTTGTTTATGCCTCAATTTTTTGTCAATTCTAATGGAACCTTAACATTTATTCATTAATATGCACTACTTAATTAGAGTCCACAGGAGAGCATATGCATTCTTTAAATATATTCTCAAATGTTCCTAGTTTTTTAAAATGTTATGCAAAGTAAAACTGCACAAATACAAAAATTGTGAAATGAGGAAAAAAAGGAAAAAGAAATGAGTCAAACTGTTGTTACAAAAAAAAATGATTTATTGCAATTTTATTTTCCATTGGCTCTGTACATCACAGAAAAATATATCAAAGTATAGGTTAAAATATACATCTTCATTCCACTAACAACTGTCTTAACATTGGATTAAACATGCACATGAGCACATTAACACACACTCACGCACAAACCAACAAAAAAACACAAAAACACGCACAAACCAACACACACATGCACACATAGACACACACACACACACACACACACACACACACACATACACACACACACACACACACACACACACACACACACACACACACACACACACACACACACACACACACACACACACACACACACACACACACACACACACACACACACATACACACACACACACACACACATACACATACACATACACACACACACACACACACACACACACACACACACACACACACACACACACTCTCACTCTCACTCTCTCTCTCTCTCTCTCTCTCTCTCTCTCTCTCTCTCTCTCTCTCTCTCTCTCTCTCTCACTCTTTCTCTCTCTCTCTCTCTCTCTCTCACTCTCTCACTCACTCACTCACTCACTCACTTTTACCCATAGTCATACTCATAGTCATACTCATACTCATTCTCATTCTCATACTCATACATTCACTTACATTCATACTTCCACTTGCACACACATAAACAAGGAAGGACTAGCATAGTATTAGTTTGCACCATTAGGAAACCAGAAATTTGTTAGAAAATCTTAAACAAATAAAAATATTTATTCTTGCAATTTTCACTTATTTTCAAGTGAATTTACCATTTCAAGTTATCTGCTACAGCTGATATTATATAATTTACATTTACCTAATCCCAGTTCATATATAATATAAAAAGGCACTGATATATTTAATAAACCAAGTATTATGCATTAGAAATGAAAAATGAGAGATACCTATCTATTTAACAATATGGAATTAAACTCCCTTCGGATGTGCAACCTACAACTAACCCACGATCTAAAGCTCAAGCAGTATCCCCTCTGCCTTCAGCATCAAGCATAAGAGAAAATGGGAAATTTAAAAGAGGAATATAAATGCTCAGCTTTCTGTATTTAATCACCAACACACACAAGTAACAACATTTAGGAAGTCTTTTGTTTGCATGTTCACTAATATTCTGACTGAAAAGCAGAACCATAACAATATGAAATAAGAATCTCAAATATTCTTTATTTGGGGTGTAGCACCTGCTGTCTCTTACATATGTAAATGAAAGTTAAATGGTCATAAGAAATGGGAACCTTAAGGCAGCCTTTGCAGGCACTGCATTAGCTCTTAATCTCCATTCTCAGAGTTGAGTATTTTGCAATTCTTCCTCTTCTTCTGGTTTCTCATAGCTGAAATAGATATTAGAGCAATATATTAAGAAATTTCAACTATCTATTTATATTTTTCCGATGTAAATAGATACCAAGTAACATGCAAGCTAAGAGATACTTTGAAATGCCACTTTTCATTAACATTTAAATATGTATATAATTCTGATGAACATGAATTGACTGAATCCCCCCTGAAAAGGAGGTTCTTGTTTCAAAGACTGGTCACATCATACATATATTGGAATTTACCTTCTATAGATGTTCAGGAAAATCATAAATGCTATAATTGCCTAAAAACATATTCTTCCTGCATTGGTTACTCTTATTACCTTCAAACTGATCTAAACACTGTCTACACAGGTCTACACATGGTGACTTGAGAGATATTTTTCTTCTTCTATTAAAATCATCCTTAACAGTCATCAAGCATGTAAGCCCTTTTACTCATTCAATAATTTTTAATAGATTCATTTTACTACAAAACCTTAAATTTCTGTAAAAAATAAAAATATCAACTTCCTTTCTCTCCTGAATTTCTCTAATTCTATTTCACCAAAGCTTGATACACTGGGGAATGAAACTCACCTTGAAGCCTCACACGTCATGTGCGAGATTGTGTCGGGCAGGCAATACGATGTCTTGGGCAGCAAGAGGGTCAGGAGCCCCCCCACAAAGGTAACAATAGCCCACATCCCTAGTTCTGTATACTCATTATCAAGGTATAGTCCCCATGATGCCTGGAAAAGATAAACCATGACTGTACTTTTTATATAATAAGTTTATCATACTGAATAGAGTATGAAAATAATATGAGATGCAATTAATTCTAATTTTTTTACTTGCCACCCTGTTCAGCTACACAACTTGAGAGTAACTTCTAGCTTCCTCAAGTTTTTGAACCATGTTTTACCCATATATATTAATGGTGTATAATTGGATCCTCAACAGAATAATATCTTCAAAGTAAAAACCAACCTGGGAACCTTCAGCATTCTGAATTTAATATTACTCAAGATCTTATACAATATCCTTAAAAAATATATATAGGTTAGTAGAGCTCATAAGAAGTCTGAACAAATGAAATATGAGTATTTTCATTAAAGAATACTAGTTTGACATTGGACATATTCACATATATCTGATGTGACAGGAAAATTCATTCAGCATACTAAAGAAATGTACATGAACATGAAGGTAGCAAATGGAAAGACAGTTTTACTCACAAAAGTACCGCTGACATCCAGTGTCGGAAGAGCATTTCCAAGAGTAGCCAACGAGAACGTCATTCCCAGCACTGCTCCCCTTGAGTGAGTGGGTGTGAGCCGGACGATGCCGACGCCCAACCAAACGAGAGCAAGGACAAGGGAGGCGTAGCCAAGGCAAGAGAAGAAAACATAGCCACCACAACTTTCCACATCAACTGTAATATCAAAAATGTTGTAACATCACTGGTTCATTTACTTGCTTCACATAGCTATTGCAAAATACAATATTGCCATAGAGTGTACCCTTCATTCTAGTATTTTACTTATATGAGTGAATGCCTCTCTTACACTGCTTGGGATATCTAATACACTTATTATCTGTTCATTAGACTATTAACATTTCTAAGCATAAATTTCTAAAGGAACTTAAAGATATTTGCAGCAATTTTTCATGTTACTTGTTTTACATAATTCAGTCACAAATATTCCATGCTAAAGTTCAAATTTTTGCATTTTAATAACATTTATAAATAAGTATTCTTACTTCTGTTCACTCATTCCATCAAAATATTATGAAGTTAACATAAGAGTCGTAAATCTTTATTCCACAACTTAGACATAATCAGATTTCACAAACTTTTCTCATTTTAACCTGTAATATATAAGTAAACGCTACTCTACATGAGAAAACAACACAAAGGTACAGTGAACTTACCAGCCTTCAACAGGCGAGTCAGCAGGAGGGCCACAGAAAGAGAGGACATCAGGGAAACTAGTACCCACTTTACTCCGACTCGCGACAGCGCCAGACCCAGGAGAAGTAAAGCCAAAAACTCCGTGATTCCGTATGCAATCTGCCTGTCCTCAAAACTAATGAATAAAAAATATATTTACATGCTAATACACAAAACATATAGAGTTCATTGATGCATACATATATATATATATATATATATATATATATATATATATATATATATATATATATATATATATATATATA